AAAGCAATAAAATGCGATAGGCCAGCCCATAGATGTGTCAACTCTATTTATCTCCATGGCTCCGTGGTTCAAGGATTCGTTAGGGAATCCTGCCAAGTTGGAAAATGTGGCTTGTTTCACAGTTCAAACTGCTGGGGACACACCATGTCAGAGGCACAATTGGCCTGACGCACGGGGCACCTTGGGCTGGGTTTTGTTGGAGCTAAGCAGTGCATGGGATTGCTGCCTGGTCGGGAGCAGCGGCCTGAGCAGTGCACATGCCAGGGCTCTTATGCCTTGGTAAATCCCCTGCCCATCATTACATTCATGAAAGTGGCTCCAGCGAGAAGAAAAATTGCCCCTTTGTGCACAAACGGGTCCGGGCTGGTGTCCCTCGCTCAGAAAAATTCTCGGCAGCTCTCGTGGAGCTTTGAGCAAGGAGCTGATCTGAGCCCAGAGCCTTGGCCGGGCTTTGGGGAACATCAGAGGCTTCTTTATCCCTCTGTGAGTGCTGAGGGCCCCTGACAAGACCAACGTCCTCAGACAACATGAGGTGAAGAAGGGCTTCTCCCCACCTCCTTGCTGCAGGTGGGGACCTGAGGCACAGGGAGATTAAGTGACTTGTCCAAGGGCACACAGGAAGCCTGTGTCTCAGCCCTGGATCACACCCAGCTCTCTGAAGCCCAGCCCTGAGTCTCCTCCATGAGACCATCTGTCCTGCCTTGCCAGCCTCTGAACCTCCCTCCAGGGCTTAGCCACCGGAGGAGTCCCCGGCCCCTGGGTGACCACTGCAGGCCAACATGGATGGTGAAAGAAATGCAGACCCCCAAGGTGGCAAAGGTCTGGGGGCACGATGCTGGTACCTCTAGGATGCACAGACAAGAGGCAGCTGCTGTGATGAGAGGTGGATACGGGCGGGAGAAGCAGGCCTCGAGCAGACCGCTCGTGCCTCTGCTCCGGCGGGGATGTCAAACATCCGGCTGGAACGTGAGCACGGGGCTGTCCTGCCCTCTTGAGCAATCACGTGTAGCCCCGACTGCTTGTGGCGGGTAATTAAGAAGCCTGGTTTATGGGTCTGTTTTCTCTGCTAAGTAAAGGTAAAGAATCCCAGGGAGGTTGTTACGAGGTTTGCACAAGGCTGCGGGGACAGGAAGGAAATTTCCACTTGCCCGGCTTCAAGAGACGGGGCGGGCTGCAGGCACCGGCGGGTCAGCACGGAGGGGACGGAGGCAAACCCTGCTCCAGTGCATCTAAAGCAAGATCCAGCTCTTAGTCACCTCTTCCCCGAGACCCTGGGTCTTTCTGTCCATGCGCAGCAGTGGTCCTCAACCTCCCTAGACTCCAGGCCCCCCTTGGAAAATGCCAGCTCTTTGCTTTCACTCATTTTTCACTCCGAAAAAAATAACAGAGCTACACTTCTATCGCAGAGCCCAGATAGCCCAGAGTGGCTCTGACACTAGGGATTCCTCTTGGAAATCTCAGGGTCTACTTTGTTTGGCACACCTAATCGTGCCAGTAGTGCATGACACTCGACAACAGCTCGGCTGAGAACAAGTGGCACTAGACAAATGAGCGACAAGCGGGGGCCGATTCAGGCAGCCTGGCTGGCTCGTCTTGTAGGCCCAGAGGAAGCTGTAGCTCCCAGAAAGACGCTCCTGCCCTCACCTAAAAACCAGCAGCAGCGCAGCGCCTTGGCTGGGGTCTGCACCACCCCGTCATCCTGGCCTCTCACCTGCCCGCACCCCCTGCATTATTGCTTAGATAAGGGGTCTTCCTATTTGCAAACTATTTGAAAGCCTGAGCTGCCTTCAAGAGACTCATGCTTGCTTCTTGTCTCGGAATAATCTGTCAGAGATAAGCAGAAGAAATGCTTAGGACTGGGCCCGTGTTTGTCACTAGCACATCTCAGAGCACTCTGCACACAAGGGCCGTGGCATCAGCCTCATTTTACAGAGGACCTGGGAGGCAAAATAACTTGCCAAAGGGCAATGAGCAGGGCAGTGGCAGAGCCAGGAGTCAGGCTCAGGTCTGGCAAGCACCACTGCAACGCACTATCCCCAAGGCGACAGGTATGGGAAGGGGCCAAAGCAAAGCGATGGATCAACCCAGGGCCACTTCACCGTGAGGGCGCAGCTGCTGCAGAGGGGAGAAGAAACAGACCCCTGGAGCCTCCCCAGAGGCAGCGATGGCTTCAGGCCCCTCTAGGTCCCAACTCCCACGTGGGATCAGCGCAGCAGCCTTGCCTTGTTGAAGGCTTTCCTTGTGCGTTCGGGGAACCGCGGGTTTTTTTGGAACGTGCTGAGGAAATGCTCTGGCGTTGCACGACCGCCGCTATTGCTCAGCACAGGCTGGGAAGCAGAAACACAACAGAGGGGGCAGATCTGAGGATGATCTCGCAGGGAATTTCACACGTGAGCTCAGCTCCAAGTGCTTCTGCGAACTACCCGGAGCGCCCGAGTCCACCAGACTGAACTGGACTACCCGAGACCAGATGCTCTGGTGAGACGGCAGCAGTGCGTGTGCCAGTCCTGGGATGGATCCAGCCAGGCCCCTCCCCACCCCAGAAATGCAAGAAAAGCATCAGGCAACAGTAAAGTCACTGTCCTCTCATTCCTCTGAGCCAGTCACATCTCTCAATTAAAAGACTAAGTTCTTCCAGCTGGAAAATCAGGAGCGGCTGCTGTGGGGCACACCTGTGCAGACCCTCGTCCGGCCAGCAGCCACAGCACAGTGCCTCCACCGAATGAGGCAGGCAAGAGTCTCTGGGTAAATGTGATCATCTTTTATTAGACCAACTCAAATAGTTGGAAACATCCTTCTTTGAACATTCAGGTGGATTACAGGGCCCCATTCGAACCACTCACCCATGGTAGTTACTGCCCACTTCCAGGCCAACAGAAATTTTTCCAAATAAAGTTTTTGGGGGAGTCAAAAATGGCTTTCTTTTGAAAAACTGGTCCATCTTGTGAGAGAAAAACCCATTTTCCAAGTTGTCCCCTTTTTCATAAGTGTATTTTCCTCCTGCCTGTGCTTTTGGGACCAGTGAAAAACTATTCAAGTTACTGCAACATTTCTGGCTTCCTGAGAACCAGCTTGTGAAATGCAAAAAGACAAAAATGTAAGACAGACGGACAGACAGAAAGCAGGGTGCGAAACTAAAACAGGTCACATTCAAACACTTTGGCAAGAAAAGAGCTTTCAGCGGGATGAAGAACAACTCTCTGAGCTGCTTCTCTTATTGTTATCTCTTGCTGTTGACCAAACTTGGAAACCTCTTTCAAACCCAGCAATTGCCATTAATTAACCTCAGTTAGTACCTGGGGGAGTTGCTTACATACTGCGCAACTGATAGGGAAGGGGCTGTGGGAGATGCAGGGAGATCAAACAATACTTGAGGGAAATACATAATTACGTGACAAATACGCTGATGACCTACTGCAACGAGATCCCCGAAGAGCACTTACATCTGAAGTAGATCTCATTTCAAATGAGAACAGGACTAGAAAACAACTCAAAGAAAGCACAAACGGTCCCCGGAGACCAGCGCACAGATTGGTCTGTAGCTACCAATAATTATAGCGCATAATTAAATAATATCAAATATTGGCCAACCAGTTGAATCAATGCGATTTTAATGGCCTGTGCCGGCAGCACAGTATTTTCCCACATTATCAAGGACCACCTACACTACGG